GCAGGGTCTGCTCAGGTTTCACATTGGATGGGGGCACGTCGGGTTGAGAGGGGGTTGGGCTAGATGACCGTTGGGGTCCCTTCCAACTCTTAAGATTCTGAGATTCCCAGCCCTGCTTGGGAATGCCATTGGGAACTGAACCTGGGACCTTCTGCTCCTCCACTTTTCCAAAAAGATGCGTTTTCAACGTGGGAGTGTATCTGCTGCACAACTGAGCCAATCTTCATTCCTTTGGGGGCAGGGGAGGGAAACTGTGTGTATGTGTAGATAGATAGATAGATAGATAGATAGATAGATAGATAGATAGATAGATGGACAGGCATTAGGGGCAATATTATTAGGTAATACAGTATAGCACCCTGAACAAGTACAAAATTCCTCTGCCCCCCCCCAAATATTACTTATTTTCACAAGAATTCATTTTGGTACAGTTGCTTTTTTAATGGATATTCTCATTAGGTCCCTGAATATTATTGTTGCTGGCACCTGTCTGTCTTGGCAGAGACCACTATGGGAGAGGCATGCTTTGTTGCAGACAGAGGTGTCCCATAGTGGTTTCTTCCCTCTAATAATAATAATAATAATAATAATAATAATAAATTTTATTTATACCCCGCCCTCCCCAGCCAAGACCAAGCTGAGGGTGGCTAACACCCAATATAAAAACAAATTGATTGAAATACAACTTAAAAACAAGATTAAAATACAACATTAAAATACAGCCTCATTTCAATGGGAACTCAAATCAAAAACTTTTTTGGGGATGAAAACGTCGAGTCTTCACCAAGGCTCTACACTTTTCCCAGTGCTCATTCCTCTGCTGGTCACTGCTATGGATGAGCAACCTTACTGGTTGTCTCCAGGCTTTGTGGCATTCCCACACAGCCGGGCCAGCAAGTCCTTGGGGATCCCCAAATTTTCCTTTTTTTTAAAAAAATAATATTTATTAAAGTTTCAAAGGGGAAAAAAATCACATTAGTAAAAAAAAAATTAACAATGAAAAGGAAAAATACAAAGTAGAAAAAAAGAAAAAACAGTTAAAAACAATTCCATCTTTTCCTCACTTCTTTTACGTTTACTTGTTTCCCGGACCTCCTCATACCTCCCTCTTTTGTATTCCAATTAAATTTGTTAATCCAACAATTCCTTTCCCTCCTTTTTAATCCTAATCTTTAATCTTGATATATTATAACTTTAAATTTTTACATATTAAAAACCAATTTTTCCATATTCTTTTGTACCTGTACAGCTAGAAACCACTTAACTTCAATCCAACATCATTCTAACATTCATTAATTTTGCAATATTTCTGTAAATAGTCTTTAAATTTCTTCCAATCTTCTTCCACCGACTCTTCTCCCTGGTCACGGATTCTGCCAGTCATTTCCGCCAATTCCATGTAGTCCATCATTTTCATCTGCCATTCCTCCAGTGTGGGTAGATCTTGTGTCTTCCAATGCTTTGCAATGAGTATTCTTGCTGCTGTTGTAGCATACATAAAGAAAGTTCTGTCCTTTTTTAACACCGATTGGCCGACTATGCCCAGGAGAAAGGCCTCTGGTTTCTTCAAGAAGGTATATTTAAATACCTTTTTAGTTCATTATATATCATCTCCCAGAAAGCCTTAATCTTTGGGCACGTCCACCAAAGGTGAAAAAATGTACCTTCAGTTTCTTTACATTTCCAACATTTATTATCAGGCAAATGGTAGATTTTTGCAAGCTTGACTGGGGTTATGTACCACCTGTATATCATTTTCATAATATTTTCTCTTAAGGCATTACATGCCGTGAATTTCATACCTGTGGTCCACAACTGTTCCCAGTCAGCAAACATAATATTATGTCCAACATCTTGTGCCCATTTAATCATAGCAGATTTCACCGTTTCATCCTGAGTATTCCATTTCAACAGCAAGTTATACATCTTTGACAAAATTTTAGTTTTGGGTTCTAACAATTCTGTTTCTAATTTTGATTTTTCCACCTGGAAGCTGATTTTCTTGTCCAAATTGTATGCCTCCATTATCTGATAATAATGAAGCCAGTCTTGCACTGTGTTTTTTAGTTTTTCAAATCTTCAATTTCAATCTATCTCCATCTTGTTCCAAAATTTCCCAATATTTCGGCCATTTGACCTCCATATTGAGCTTTTTCAAGGCTTGGGGGATCCCCAAATTTTCCATTCTGTGGAGATGACCCAGCCAGGATAGATATTGCTGAGACAGGAGTGGGAACATGCTGTGAGTGTGGGCCTCAGAAGGATATTGTGGCATTGGGAAAGATCCAGAAAAGGGCAACTGAAATGATCAAGAGGTGGAACTTTCTTTAAGAGATCACCCAAAGTCCTTGAGCTTTCCTTAGGAGATCAGCCAGAGTTGTTAAGCTGAGCTTTTGGGAGGAACATCTCCAAAACTTGCTTAGCTAGCTCCCCCCCCCACCGATTCAGTGAGTTATTTATTTATTTATTGCATTTATATCCTCCAAGCAGCTTGAGGTGGTGTACATGGTTCTCCCCATTTTATTCCCACAACAACCCTGTGAGGCAGTTTAGGACGATAAGCAGTGATATCCAGTGAGCTTCATGGCTGAGTGGAGATTTTTTTTCCTTTTTATTAAAGATTTTCTTGTTTTACAGAAGTAAGTGCAATGCCTCGTATTTTTTCCATGTAACATTTTTACAAATCGGTTTCATTTGTTGAGACATTAGGGGGAGAAGAAAAAGAAAAAGAAAAAAAAGGGGAGTGGAGGGAGGGAAGATGGGTGGGGTCGGGTGGCGATCTTTCTATTAAGCTTAATGTATGTAGGCTTTGGTGTCAGCGTTGCTTGTGCTGTTCGCTTGTGTTCCTTTGGTGGTGAGAGAGGTTGGGGTTGGCCTAGGGTGTGGCTGTTCATTTGTGATTGGCTGTGGTGATCTTTGTTTTTGTGTGTGAGTGGGGTGGGTGGGTGTTTTGGATCAGGTTAGCCATATTGATTTGTATGCTGTTGGTGGATTATTGTCATTGTCTTGTTGGGCTGTGTATGTGATAAAGGGGAGCATAAAGGCGTCTTCTTCTGTTTGTCCTCATGTCAGTTTCAATTTAGTAGGGCTGTTTCCCATACTATTTGGTACCATTGGTCCATGCTTACTCCTGACAGGTCTCTCCAGTGTCTGGTTATGGTGTTTCTGGCTGCTGAAAGTACCGTAGGTGGGTTATGAGTTCTTTCTAGCTTTTTGAGGGAAGGACAGTGCCTGTGAGGGCCTGGGACTCGGGCTTGGACTTGAAACCAGAGGAGACTCAGTCTACACTGGATCCTCTGCCTCAGGCATCATCTGAACCAAGTCTGGGGCCTGATCCTGAAGAGCCCCAGTCTGCACAGGTTTCCCTGCAACAAACACCAGCTGGGCCATCACTTACAGCTGCTCCACTACCAGTTGGGTCAGGGGAGGCTGAGGCAGCCCCTGGGTCTAGTAACCCACTGATGTCTCCTGAGCTGCAGAGACTGAGGTCTGAGAGAAGGAGAGACCTGAGTACTCGCAGGAGGAGTGCTCGCCTTCGGGCGAAACAGGGAGGTGAGTGGCCGGGAGATCAGGACTGGCCGCTACCCCGACAAAGATAAAAGGCTGTCGGACCCTGCCCCAGGTTGCGGGAGCAACATTGCTGTATGCTAGATCCTGCCTGAGATCCTGTCCCTGTCCTTGCCTGGTTTCCTGCCTCGTGTCCTGCCTTGGCCCTGTTGGACTAACTCCTAGCGGAACCTCCAGATCCTGGACTGATCCTGGACTGCGTTTCACGGGTTACCCCCGGGCCAAGCACAGCGCCTGTGCCATCTTGCAGCTCCCCCCCCCCGTGCCGCCCTGCGAACCCCCGGTCTGCCCCTCCCACCTTGTCCCTGCCTTTCTATGCTACTGAACTCATGAAAACTGGATGCTGGAAAATTCAGGACAGATAAAAGGAAGTCTTTCTCTTCATACAGTGCCTAGTTAAACTATGGAACTCACTTCTACAGGAGGCAGTGCTGGTCACCAAGCTAGATGGCTTTTATAGAAGATTAGGCAAATTCATGGTGGTGCTGTGGGTTAAACCACAGAGCCTAGGGCTTGCCGATCAGAAGGTCGGCGGTTCAAATCCCCGCGATGGGGTGAGCTCCCGTTGCTCGGTCCCAGCTCCTGCCAACCTAGCAGTTCGAAAGCACGTCAAAGTGCAAGTAGATAAATAGGTACCGCTCCGGTGGGAAGGTAAACGGTGCTTCTGTGCGCTGCTCTGGTTCGCCAGAAGTGGCTTAGTCATGCTGGCCACATGACCCGGAAGCTGTACATCGGCTCCCTCAGCCAATAAAGCGAGATGAGCGCTACAACCCCAGAGTCGTCCATGACTGGACCTAATGGTCAGGGGTCCCTTTACCTTTACCTTTTAGGCAAATTCATGGGGGAGAGGGCTAGGAATGGCTACTAGCATAGAAGCCAACTCCTAGGGGCTGAGGTCCCTCTACTCCCACCCCCCTGGTAAAATATTTGAGGGTGCTGGGGTCCCCCAAAAGTTGATGGTCATCATTGCTGTTTAAATGCTGTGTCTTGTGATTGATTATGCAGGGCAGGGTTATTAAATACATAAAATTTATAAAGCCTGATTTGCAAACCTGGATCAGACCTTATTTCATCTGGACTGATATCCAGAGCCTAATCCACAAAAAATATGGAAAGTTTTCAGTGAGGAAGTGAAAGGAAAGAAAGAAAGCAACTAACAAAGAAAGCTTGAAATTGTGATCCAATATGATAAATGGGTGCGAAAGTAATACAGTTATTCCAACAAATGCAAAATTATGAACAAGTCATTATACTATTTATAAATGGATTCCAAACGTTGTTGTATTTATCCATGCACATTCTGCATCCACTTGCATGTTGCAATAGCTGTCATGTCTTCTAGCCATTGATGGAAGGGGGCCATGGTATTCTCGTAAAATCATGGAAGGGACCACCAAGGTCATCTAGTCCAACCCCCTGCAATGCAGGAATTTCTTTGCCCAGAGTGGGGCTCAAACCAACAATCTTGAGATCAAAAGCCTCATGTTCTACTGACTGAGCTATAAGTTTCCAATGAATCAATATCTGGGTTTTTTAAGGGCGGAGGAAGTCCATCTACGTGGACACAAGTCTTCAGAAATCCCATTAACTTGCACTGAGGAGCCAAAATAGCCATCAGGACCAATCAGACTGCTGCATTCTGAATCCTATTGTTCTAGGACCAATCAGACTGCTGCATTCTGAATCCTATTGTTCTAGGAGCAATCAGACTGCTGCATTCTGGACCCTATTGTTCTAGGACCAATCAGACTGCTGCATTCTGGATCCTATTCAACATAACAGAGGTTTAGCCCTGCTAACTTGCTGACAGGAGTTTGGCATTTTGGTGTCTAAAGCAGCATAGAAATTACTTTTTTTTAAAAAATGGAGACAGAATGTATTAAGATAGCAACTTTTCATTTATTTATTTATTAAAAACCCAGTATATGAAAACCAGCAGTAAGGAAATGATAAATCATGGTTGCCCAGAATCAAGGGCTGCTTTTTCCTGTTATCAGTCTTGAAGGCTGCAGAATAATGGATGATATCCCTCCCTCCCCCCTTTTTTTAAATGCAGCAATATTGCTCTCTTATTACCCTATTAACCTTTAGACCCTTCTGTCTGCCTGACGTATAATCACATGCACAGGTCCAACCAAGGACGACAGAGAACAGCCTCGGGGCACGTGATACCAATCCCTTGCTGAAGCAAAGTGAGGGGCTGAGGGGTCATGGCCTGGATAAGAGACTGCTGAGGAGTGGAGCCCCATACCCCCACTCCCAATGACTCTGAACTTTGTCTGCTGGGATAGCAAAGATTGGTAGAGTTGGAAGAGTGCTGGAGGAAACTCTTGAGAGTCCCATGGACTGGAAGAAGATCAAACCTATCCATTCTTAAGGAAATCAGCCTTGAGTGCTCACTGGAAGGACAGATTGTGAAGCTGAGGCTCCAAGACTTTGGCCACCTCAGGAGAAGAGAAGACTCCCTGGAAACGACCCTGATGTTGGGAAAGATGGAGGGCACAAGGAGAAGGGGATGACAGAGGACGAGATGGTTGGACAGTGTTCTCAAAGCTACCAGCATGAGTTTGACCAAACTGCGGGAGGCAGTGGAAGACAGAAGTGCCTGGCGTGCTCTGGTCCATGGGGTCACGAAGAGTCGGACATGACTAAATGACTAAACAACAACAACATGGGTGTTTTAGTGGAGATTCCTGCATCGCAGGCGGTTGGACTAGATGACCCCCAGGGTCCCACTTTCAGGTTAAGAATGGACCTCCAGAACGAATTAAGTTCTTAACCAGAGGTACCACTGTAATGAGTTTGTTAGAGCGCTGCAGCTCAAAAAATACAAAGGAGACTGCTCTGAAGAAAGAAGTGGCCTTTGTGTGATTCATGGGTCTGATTTGTCAATCCAGATCAGACCTGATTTGGACTGGACCCAATCTGGCTTGCGCCGGAACTGAATCCAGATCACAGTCTGGAAAATGCAAATCCTTGACATTCTTTGGGTAGCCCAAACGGCCAAAATGTTCTGTGAACCGCCCTGAGATCTTTGGAAGAAGAGTGGTGTATACAGACAAACAAATGAATACAATAAATTTGGGTCTATAGGATGGTGAATTTTGCAGATGTGCTAGTCCCTACATAAGGGATTAATCCTGTGGTTATTGCTTTTTGACAGCTAGATCAAGGAATTTTCATGGTAACGACTTTAAACTTAAAAATGTTTCAAAATGGCCATAAAGTGTTGTTTCTGGGGTCCCCCCCCCCATATGGGGCATGGTATTAAGTGTGCCACACTGCAGGCAAGTAGCTATAGGGGTTTTTGTTTTAGTGGCTATCCCCTTTTAATTTTTAAAATTAAAAGGCCACAACTTTTTGTTGTTGTTTCACCTAGGTGGATGGAATCTGGAGATGACAAGACCTCAAGAGTGTATTAACCTTGCCAAACTGAAAACAGGTAGCTCAAGAGAGTGTGTGTGTTAGACACTCTTAAAGGTTTCTCTTTTTCAAGTGCAAATAAAGACAGTTGTGGCAAACAGTTGTAAATAAACCTAACCTAAAAAGAAGAGCCTTTTTTGAAGGGGGACAAGAGGACTATTAAGACAACAAACTTAAAACAAGAGTGGGACTAGGATTGATTGGGAAACGATGGAAACAAAAAGATATATACTGTGAAGGAGACAAAAGACAAGCTAAACAAATGCCATCAAACTCTTGCAACAAGACAGAACTTACAAAAGAGTTCTGCATTTTAAGATTTCCCCATTTCTGCAACCCCCATGCCCTGTGAATGGAGAGGGTTGGGTCTCTTGATAGCTCTCTAGGCTAGCCCTACAGCTCTCATTAAGCAAAGTCCCTCTCCTCTCCTCTCCTCCCCCCCTCTCTCCTTACCCTGGCATTCTCCTCATATAGTGTTGTAATTGCAACAGTTTGGAGACAGTCTGTCTGGGGTTTTTTAGAGATCATATTTATCTACGATGGGCACAAATCATTACACTCAATAGTGATCTGCAGTTGCCTTGGCCTGACTTGGACAAGGGCCCAAACTGGCCCAATTTGGTTTGGGATTGGGCTGAATCGGGTGCTCAGCCCTTATAAATGGTGTGTGTGTAGAATGGATGGGCAGAAGCAGCAACTCTTGAGGAAGGAGGGAAGGTCATTCTCTCGCTCTCCCCCTCTGTCTCCAATTTATGTACAGTCCTTTATCAAAAGATCCCAGGGAGGTATACATCATAAGCCCATGCAATGGGCTGGAGAAAGTAAACAGGATGGAAATGGTTCCTGAACAACCTTTGAAAATCAGAATGGTTTGGGGGAATGGCCATAGCTCAGTGGTACAGCTTCTGCTTTGCAAGCAAAAGGTCCCAGGATCAATCCCCGGTGTCTCCAGATAGGACTGGGGAAAACTTCTTGCCTGAAACCCTGAAGAGCTGCTGCAAACCAGTGTAGACAAAACTGAGATTGATGGGTCAATGATCTGACCCATTATGTGCAATAATTTCTAGTTTGTTTGTTTTTTATACAATATGTGCAGTTTGTGCATAATGCCCGAGGAGCCTGTCTGTTGCCGCATCAGGTCTAGAACTGTCTGTTCAGGAGCGCCTGAGACCTAGGGGCAGGCCCTGGTGATGTCATGGGGTGGGTCTCCAGTGATTTCATGGGGGCAGCCCCTGGTGATGTCATTAAGCAAATCACATGAACCATTAGCCACAGGGAGGGTGGAGATCAGACTCCCCAAAGGGTCTATGTAAAAAATTTGCAGCCTGAAGCTTGCAATCTGCATGCAATTTTCTTAAAAAACTTTTTGTTAAGGTGCTCACGCCCAGATTCAAACCCTCCCCCTGCCACCTGGAGTGCAGCAGGCAAGCCCAGACTCCAGGTCAACCCTGAAGGTCTAGCAACCCTAATCAGGTCCTTCTCAAACAATTCAGATTATCTCCTCTGGGAGGTACCCAAGTCACTTTGTTGGGGGTGGGTGCCTAGATCCTGGTTCTGATCTACCCATTGACTAAGTCAAAATAATATATAATCCCATCATCATGGCAGAGGCCATTCCTAGACCAAATGACGCCCTAGGATCCTAGCAACTTCAGTATCTCACCTCTCCCCCCTCTGTTCAGCAGCTGATGAATGCCAGCTTATTTTGCAACCGACACACAATTCTCACGCAGGATTGCTTACAAGTCTGTGGAATGGGCTCCAGAGCTGCAACAGTTTCTTCTAAGTAATAATAATAATAATAATAATAATAATAATAATAATTTATTACTTATACCCCGCCCATCTGGCTTGGTTTCAGCTTCCAACAAAACACTAAAATACAGTAACCTATTAAACATTAAAAGCTTCCCTAAACAGGGCTGCCTTTAGATGTCTTCTAAAAGTTTGGTAGTTATTTTTCTCTTTGACATCTGGTGGGAGGGCGTTCCACAGGGCGGGTGCCACTACCGAGAAGGCCCTCTGTCTGGTTTCCTGTAACTAATAATCCTGTAATAATAATCCTTTTAAAAATAGAATAAGAATGTTAATGCAATGCTGGCTTTGCATCTCCATCTTTACAAGTGAATATGCACTGTTTGCTTCAGCTGTTGAGCGGAAATTTCAGTAAATCATCTGTGATGGGAAAACCCTAAACTCCTGAGCCCAGCGTAGAATTAGCCTGCCCATAATTCTGGCCCCGATCTTGCCTCATTCTGTACTGTTTTATCATTTATGCATTTCAACAAATCTTCTCAGTAGCTAAAATATAAGGGCCTTTTCTGTGGCGGCCCCTAAGTTGTGGAGCACCCTCCCCACAGAGGTTCGCCTGGCCCCTTCATTGTACAGATGCCAGCGAATGCTGAAGATGCACCTTTTTACCCTGACTTTGGACACTTGAGATTAAAGGTAAAGGTAAAGGTACCCCTGCCCGTATGGGCCAGTCTTGACAGACTCTAGGGTTGTGCGCTCATCTCACTCTAGAGGCCGGGAGCCAGCGCTGTCCGCAGACACTTCCGGGTCTGTGGCCAGCGTGACGAAGCTGCTCTGGCGAACCGGCACCAGCGCAGCACACGGAAACGCCGTTACCTTCCCGCTATAAAGCGGTACCTATTTATCTACTTGCACTTTGATGTGCTTTCGACCTGCTAGGTGGGCAGGAGCTGGGACCAAATGGCGGGAGCTCACCCCGCTGCGGGGATTCGAACCACCGACCATGCGATCAGCAAGTCCTAGGCGCTGAGGTTTTACCCACAGCGCCACCCGCGTCCCTACACTTGAGATTAAAATCATAGAAATAAGGTAGGACCTAAAAAACATGGATGCATTGACCAAAAAACAGTCAAAAACAGGTATTTAACACTATTCAAAATGTGATTAAAATCAACAGTAGCCAAAAAGAACTAAAACACACCTGACTTCTACATGCCTGGAGAGGCCTGCCTAAACAAAAGCTTTTAATGCTTTACTTATTGAAATTAATGGTTCCCTTCCACACTGCCTGGATAGCTCAGTTGGTCACAGTGAGGTGCTGATAATGCCAAGGTTGCAGGTTTGATCCCAGAATGGGACAGCTGCATATTTCTGCATTGGAGGGGGTTGGACTAAATAATCCTCAGGGTCCCTTCCAACTCTACAGTTCTATGAGTTAATGCTTTCCTTCATTTTTGGTGTACTACAGTACACATAACAAAGGAACAAGAGTTGCATCAGAATGTTATATACTTAGAAGACCATGTTCCACCCAAACAAATCAACTGAAAGTAAATCGCTCAGCTACAGAAAAGATTTATGTAGAAGTAAATTATTTAAGACTGGGGTCTCGAAGCTCATCAATACTGAAATCAAATGCAAACTGCGATCTAGCATGGGCTGCAGATATGATGCCTTCTTTTAGTTTATCTTTGATTTATTTCCTAACCTGAAACTAAATTGACCTGCTGTTTAGCTTATTATGAGATTGTAAACTGGTCTTATGCTTCTCCACCCCACCCCCAAAAAAACACCCCTGTTTACAATTGTATTTAAATGGATTGTTTGAATTGTATTAACATCCTGGGACCCTCAAGTCAATGAAATCCAATAAGGCTGTGGTTCTCAACACCCCCTTACTACAGATTACTTGACAGCTGCTGAGATTTTTGTAGAACCACCTAATGACTTTCCCTTGCCCATTGTAGCAATTGTAATGCGCTATGCTAGGTGCTGTATGATTTTAAATTGCATTTTTATTCCTTCCCTTGTCTCCTATAATGCATTTTATTGTATCGCAGTTTGAATCCCATAGAATAGAATTCAAATGGGAAGTGTCCTTCAGAGACATGCCCTGGACCACTTCCAAGTTCATGGACCACAGTTTGGTAACTCCTGCTATAAAGTTCAGGGCTCTAGGCTGGGCTACAGCACGCTCCTTAACTTCGGGTAAGTTGCCACCGCTTGGTCTCAGTTTGCCCTTTCTGTGAAATGGGAACAATTGCATTCTTCATAGGCGAAAGAATCACTGTGGTTCTAAAGCACATTCATATCAGAGCTGTGACATTAATCATGGAGCTGCAGAATGCATTATCTATGACTTAATGGTGTCTGATTTGGCTCCAGCGCCAACATTTTGCTTTGCAATTTGAAGGGAGAGAATTAAATGTTGGGGTTTTTTTTAATGGTGGTTTCTGCTCTTCCAGGAGGCAGTAATTTTTTTCTTCTTCAAGGAGAATATCGAGGCTTGCAGAATACAGCGTTCAACGCAGCGTCTGGAAAAATTGCACGCGGTGATTACGGTGGTCGGCTTCTGTTGCGTATGAAGTTCAGCGCGGGTGTGTTAAAAAAAGGGGGGGGGGAGCTACAATCTTTTCGAGATAAACAGGCAGAGAGTAGAGAGTCGGCTGTGAAATTGAGACAGACTCTTTTACAACAGCCAAGAAGAAGTGGGGGGAAACTCTGCGCTCGTCTCGATGTCTAGCTGTAGGTTGAAGGAGGCAGAGATGAAGGCGTAAAATTACGCATATATATACTGTATATTTTTCAGAGCGCGGTGTCGAAAGAGCGGCTGAATCTGTTTGAAACGTTGCAATGAGCAAAGCTTTTCTGACGCTCCAGGAAAATGGGTGAATTTCCTATAAACTGTAAGAGTAGTCTTTCATTTTCTTCGAAGAGTATCCTCCGTCCTCGCGGAACGTGGCTGTAAGAATATAAAACATATACACACATTCCGAAATAACAGGATGGTATTTTTGCTCTTAAGAAACCAAATGGCCTGATCCATCCATCCTATATGCGTTTACTCGGAAGTTAACTTCATCCCACTGAGGATTTCTCGGTAGGGTTGCGCCCGGTTTGCCTGCCGTCGGATTACTCCGAAGTAAGTCCAGTTGATTTCTATGGGGGATTCCCATGTTTACCCGGGAGTAGGATGCGTTGAAATCAATGGAACTCCCGAGTAAGGATTTATACGGTGTGACTGTAGTTTCTTATGGAATATTCAATAAGAAGAGGGTTGTTGTTTTTTTAAAAAAGAAAGAAATGAAAGAACGCCAAATACATTGAATATGCCTTAATTCTATACATTTTAATAAGATAAAAACAAACTAGTCTTAATATATTTGCTGAATATAAAGATACGCGGGAAAAATAGATTTTTAAATGCATTCGTTAAACAAACAAACAAACAAACAAATACACAGCCGTAGATATTTCATAAGGAAACCTCTATTATTATTATTATTATTATTATTATTATTATTATTTATATACCGCCCTATACCCTGAGGTCTCAGGGCGGTTCACAGAACAAAATCAAAATATAAAACCAGAAAATATATAATCAAAATAAAATCAATAACCAAATAACTCCCGTAAATGCAGATTTACCCCCGTAAATTTCGTGAATGCAATGAAAAAGAATGACTTTTTCGGCTTTTAGCCCTGCTGCTTAAAATTTATTCCAAAATTTCCTCGTTATTAATTTGGTTTTTAAGGGAAAATGTCCCATTTCTGCAACATGACACACGCACGAAAGACGGAACATTGTAAAATCTGTATCGCTGGCGGTTTTGCCGCCTTTTGCAGAAGAAGGCTTCTCTTGACACCGAGAAAAATGAATTTGGCCTTCGCCCAGTCTTGTGTAAAGAAGGGGAGAAATCTTAGGGAAAAGCTGCGGGAAAGATATACACCACGTATAGGAAGAGATCGAGTTGATTTCTGCTGGGAAAGAAAAGAATCGAAGAAAGTTAAGTAGAGATAAGAAAAAGTGCCAATAAACTGAGAAAGGACAAATTATGAAAAAGAAAGAAACGTTTACTTGGAAGCAAATTCAATTGTTTTTATTGTATTTATTTTATTGTATTTATTTACATATTTATTATTATTATTATTCCGCCTGTTATCTAAAAAAAGGTCTGCAAGCGATTTACATTTAA